GTGCAGGTCCCCTCTCCAGTCTGGGCTCCCCTGGTTTGTTGTTCTGTCCTCCTCCTCCCTGGCTTCCAGCTGACATTACTAGTTGGAAATCCTGGTGAAGACTCACAAGGGAGGTCAAGGTCAGTCTGTTAGTATGATTTGAAAAAAGGCCAGAAGACATTGAGTTTCTGTTAATATTAGTGGAATAATTTGGAAACAGATAGAAGTGATAGTTGTATAAGATGAACATCACTAAATTGTAGATGGAAAAAAAATGAGTTGGCAAAAATATGTGTGTGTGTGTATACACATATATGTGTGTGTGTATTATATATATATGTATAAAATATAATTTCAAAAATTTTAAATAAAAAAAGAAAGGTCAGAGGAAAGGCATGAATTCCTTCCCAGGCAAACCACATGTGGGAATACTTTGGGCAGCTGGCTGTGTCTAAACCAAACCCAAACCAAATCCGTTGCTGTACAGTTGACTCTGACTCATGTCGATTGACCCCTTGTGTTACAGAGTAGAAATGTGCTCCACACGGTTTTCTTAGCTTCAGTCTTCACGGAAACAGGCCTTTCTTCAGTGGTGCCTCTGAGTAGATTTGAACCACCCTTTTGGTTAGTAGCCAAACTCAAACTGTAGCACCCAGGGTTGTGTCCACCTTTTGCGATTCTCTCTCCCCCAGCCCTAGAATTTGGGGTCGTGGGATACTGGAGTTGGAGCCATTTGGATATGGGCTAGATAGAGTTGGAGCCATTTGCATATGGGCTGGAGTTGGAGCCTTTTGGGTATGGGCCATTAGCAGCCCTCTTTCTCTGAGGCTGAGAAGGAGAGCTGGCATTTGTAGGATCAGAGGGTGAGCGGACACGCTGACCTTGCGGAAGACTTGAGGGCCATGAAGGGTGGATTCACGTAGGAAGAGCCTGGGGATGAAATTGCATTCTCTAAACATACCAGGCCGTCCTTTTTTCTTCCTGCTGTGACCTCAGTCAGCGCCATAAGATCAGTAAAAGTGCATGATGCCACATAAGTTATCACAACTGTAATGAATAATAGGTTTAGTGCCTGTCTTCCCTTGTAGAATGTAAGCTCCATGGGGACAGGTCCAGGTCTGTCTTGCTCAATGCAGTGCCTGCAATGCCTGTGATGTTGGAGATATCACCTGACAGTAGCGGGTTTTGTTTGACACGGCCAGCTCCCCAACTATTCCCACCTCTGTTTTTCCTGTTGTGGAAGGGAAGGAGAAAGACAGGGAGGGAAGAACAGGAATTTTCTTTCTCAA